AACATACAAGCACATACATACGCACATAATCGATTATTGTTTTCTCTATTAATTTTTGTCTACAGATATATAAGTATCAAATATTGATTAAGTTTTTTGATCTTCAGAGTACAGTTTTAATATAATTGTCCTTATTCAAGTGAACTCGATTATCATTTGTACTTGTATAAGCAAGTGTATATATACATAAATATATATGTGTATGTGTGTGTGTGTGTGTGCGTTAACATACTTGACACACTATGCTTACACACACACTCACAAACAAACTGATCAAGTGCCAATTTCTATATCATACTTTTTTTAATATTGTATCTAGTATATTTGTCAAATATTTCTTTTTTTTTTGTTTTTTTTTTCTTCTTTGATTTCAATATAAAAAAGTAATCAATTTCACCTTAGTAACAATGTAGATAAATAATTAGTTCAAAAAAATTAAAAAAAAAAAAGAAATAGAATGAACTTAATAAGTAAATAATTTTGTGTTTTTTTTTTCTAAAATAAACTGATTTCATTTTTAGAAAATTTTTTTTATTTAAAAAAAATGAAGAAAAATCTAATGGTTGTACTTCATAATGATTCTTGATGTATCTAAGTATCTAACCATCTACCTAGGAGTATGTGTATTAAAATAGTTTCTTAAATATTTCAATGTTGCTAAGTAATAATAGGGGAGGGGGGGGGTTACCTCTTTTTTTTTTTATTCTTTATTGGAATGTGTTGATTTAATATAATGTTATTAATAAAGAAAAGAAAGACATTATATTAAAAGAAACCTATACAGAGTATAATCATTCATGTATAATGATTGAATATTGAATAGTTTAGATATGACAATGTCAAATATTTCTATTATGTATTATGTATTATTATTATTATTAGTTATTGGTGAATTACATGCTTGAAATTTCATTATTGTTACCATTTCACATACCAGATACAAAACGGCAAATGAACTCGTAAGCGTTGGGGGGGGGGCTATGGAATTAAATATCAGTATGTTAGAACAAATTAAAAGTGTGTTACAAAGTGAACTTGTACACTGATGTATCAATTAGGTGCGTCTAATTCTATGTAGATATAAAAAATTATCGATGATCATTCTTGATATAATTAGTGTGGTGAGTTTAAGCCCGATTTATTAACACGTGACTTATTCATCAATCGGTATACGACTTACATAATCTTAGCACTATGCCAAACCAATGAGATATTGACCGGTATGAGCATCCTAGCATCCTTACTGGTTCTTTTCTCTCCTAATGCTATCGCGTTATCTACTTAGTTACTGAGTCCTGATAGCCACTTGCTTGTGCAATGGGGTGAAGTTTAAATTCATTTGGTATTATTTGTTTGAACCTTCCAATTGATGTTTAGAACTGTAATTGATCAGCCTCTTATCGGCATATGTACATACTGTGCGTATTGCCTCGATATTGTTTTAATTCATAAGCATTATAAGCAAAGATGGAAGCAAAAGGTACTGAGTTCGCATTCCAGAGTGGATATCAACTCTAGGATGCAGGTATATCCAGCTGACGAATTCCAAATAGAATGAAACGCTCGTCCTGGATTCCAGTCCTAGCCACTAATCATAATTGCTTATACATTATGAAAAGTTGTTGTTATGTTTGAATATATAAAATTTTTATTACTATGTACAACAAGAATCTGTAATAGGAGTGGAAAGTTGTTGATAATGGGACATAAATCATTCTGTAAGTGTTAGATATTATAAGTATCTTAATTTTAAATGAAACTAAATATAAACAATGTACAATCAACATTTCACTAATCTGAAGTATTTTATGATCAAATTACGTCAATGAACTCATTAAGGTGTTCCATTCACAGATAGAATAATTTTGATCATGATAAGTTTTATTGTTTACAGTTGTTTATGAATTAATAATGAAGTTAAACATTAATACCGTTCGATAACGCTTCAGTGGTCTATAGGTAACGCTCACTACTGTGGAGTCCCATACTAGGATGAAATGGCCATTCAATACTTTTAGGTTTTTAATGGTGGTCGGTTTATGATCTCAATTCAAGCTCAACAATCTTCACAACCCTATACTTATTTCTTACATTTGTCTAGATTATTCATAAACTATAGTTTCACCTATTTCGTCAATCAGTTTTCCTTTCAGATATTTATTTGTAGTTATCCTATGAATTTTTTCATCCTTGTTAGAAAGTGTAAATAACTACTGATCAGAAGGGGTTTTGTGAAGAATTCAGTATTTTTCATAGTTAAAATCATGAGTCAGTTGAAGGTAAACCACCATGGAAAATCTGGAAGCACTGGACGGCCGTTTCGTCCTATTATGGGACTCCTCAGTGTCAGCACGCATCCAAGATTCCGCCTCGCGAGATTACAACTCAGGACCTATCACTCTCACGCTCGAGCGCTTAAGCACTAGACCACTGAACCGGCCGACATCCAACGGTGTTAATGTCCAACTTTAACCAATCCATGAAGTTGAGCAACCGTTCACCAATTGTCTTCAGTGAGTTGTTATCGCACAACAGACTTGGTTGAACTCCACCAGTCACTGTTTCTCACTAGAACTCCAGGACACGTATCTTGAAGTCAGTCACTAGTGAACGGTTGCTCAAACTTCGTGGATTGGTTGAAATTAGACATTAATACCGCTGGATGCCGGATCAGTGGTCTATCGCTTTAGTGCTCTGGCTCAAGACTGATAGGTCCTGGGTTCGAATCTCTTGAGGCGGGATCATGGATGCGCACTGCCACTGAGGAGTCCCATAATAGGACGAAACGGCCGTCCGGTTTTTCGATGGTGGTCTAGCTTCAATTGATTCATGATTTCAACTATGAAAGATAATTACTGATAATTATTGATATTAGGAACAGTACTTATAGTAATCATTCAATCAATCAGTCAATCAATCAATTAACCAATCAATCAATCAATAAAAGCTTTAAGTCAGAAATAACATTACAGATTGTACATGAAGAAGATGATAATTCCTCATTGATTATAAATGAACTAAGATGCATCCTGTTTGTCAGATCTATTCATTATTGGCATTAAATAATAGACCAATCAAAATTCAGTCTTTATAAAAATGGATTTGTGGGTGTGGCTTGGTAAAATGACCTTCGAATATATTGGCCAATCAAGTCGTAATTACTAAAAATGGCCATTTATGCATCTTAGTAATACTGATTAGTGTGTTTTTAGCAAATTGGTTTTTTATGGGATGGGATCGCTAACCCCATGCCCAACCCTCCTCCTTTACCCGGGCTTGGGAATGACAGTAACTCTAGAAGAGCTACAGGCGGAGTTTACTTAGTAATATATATATTTATATATATATATATATTTATATATATATATATATATATATTTCTTTGAGATAATGTATGGATAAATGATAGATAATCATTGAGAACCTGGAAGCACTGGACGGCCTAGTACGGTATTACTTAATAGTGCTCATCCACGACCCCATATGCTGCGATCGAACTCAGGACATTTGGTTTCGTGTTCGAACACCTACCTCTAGATCACTGAGCCGTTATCCAACGGTGTTATTGACTAACTTCAACCAAGCTTAATAATACGTGACCACCTTCCGTTGTCTTCAGTGCAGTTCAAAAATCTCCACAACTTCATACTCACAATTTTGATGTGCTAACTTGTAACTAGCTTCAAGAGGGAATTCTTGTAGTTCTAGTGAGAAGCTATGACTAGTGAAGCTAAACCTTTGTAAGCAGTTACACACCGAAGACACATAAAGATGGTGACGTAATGTCGCAGATTGATTGTAATTAAACACTAATACCGTTGGATGTTCCCTCAGTAGTCTAAAGGTTCTCGGTTCGACCCGTGATGGTGGGATCATCGATATGCACTGCTTAAGAGTCCCACACTAAGATGAATAATCGATTCGATACATATAAGTTTTCAATGGTGAACTAACATTGTTTAGTTCAAGATTTCAATGAAACTTAATAACCTTCACAACCTTATACTGAGAATATTTTAATTCAACTTTCTTAATTTTCTAGTGCCTTCAGCAAGATACAATAGATAATTTTATGCAGATTTCTGTTCCTATTGTGATCGATAGAATACAACCAGCACTAAATGATAAGACAATAATGACATTAGTTACTGCCAAGTGACTTCTTAATCCTAAATATTTCAGTCATTCAAGAGGTAGTTGTTTCTTCAAAAAATTTCAGTACTAACGTCTTTGATCATGACACTGAATGGGACAATTCGAATCATACATGGATTTTCATTTTCATAAATACTACAGAACTTCCGTGCTGAAAATTCCCGAAAAAGAGAAACATAAGCTAGCACAGGGCTTCCTGCTGATTACTCCGAACCATTTAAAGTGCTTAGATAAATCAGAAGACAAGATTCATAACATCTACTACAACTAACTTCGAATAAATACTTAAACTGTTTAGTAGAATTTGGTTTAGGAATTTGTCAAAAATTCCATTTCGTGAGTAAATTATCTCCAGTTATCCACTCTTGCCACATAAAGCATATCTGATTTTGTTTTCTTGATTGTATGATGACTGTGCTATAAACAAAATTCCTTTTATTGAGATAACGAACAGACCTAAGCTAGGCAACCATTGAAAACCTGGATGCACTGAAAGATCGTTATACAATAACACGGATTGATTGAAGTTATGCTTACATACAATTCATTTTTGCTTCAGTAGTCTAGAGATTCTTCGTTCGCATATGAGACCGAGGGTCGTGGGTTCGATTCCCCGTAGGAAGAGTTGTGGAAAAGAAGTCCTTTACTAAGATAGAATATTCTTTTAGAGCTTTCAGGTTTACAATAGTTGTTTAACTTGAGTTGACTTATGATCTCGATAGAACTCATCAATCTTCACAACTTCTAAACCCATGAAAGTCATATTTGTCGTTTGAAAACGTACTAATTCTCAGATCTTTCAGTATTTTATAATATTTAATCTATTCTCTTTTTCATTCAACTAGTTGTCAACAATTCGCTTAATGACAAGATACGATTAGTTGATGGAAATCAATTGGCACATGCTTTATTAAATACAAATGATTTACAACATTATTACAATCATCATCAACTCATAGCTAAATCGGTGATTGGTTCACCCTACTTGAATGTTGATTCTATTGGATTACCGACAAGTATTCAATTTCCAGCTGAACCAGTCAGTGGATTGTTTTTAACTCCTGCTATATTAGAACAAACGAATAAACCATTGAATCAGTCCAATATATTTGATTGTCCATGGAATTTGACAGCATGTGTCTCAGGTAAAAAAACAGGCGTTTTTATTGTGTGTGTGTGTGTATGTGTGAAGGCGTATAGATTTTTTGTATATCAAGAAACAGATGAAATGCTTTAATTATAGTTTGTAATTGGATTTGCCATGGAATACACTTGAATGAATAGTTTGACGTCATTATTTATTTGCATGTACTTGAACATTGTTAAGTTGCTTGACTGTAATCAATGGACTTCGGCAGACTAGTTCCAGTAGATGTTAGTTTACAACTCTCTCAGTCACGATCAATATCCATCTAGAGGAGAAACATCAGTGCAACTCATAAACAGTTGATTACAATGAACATGCACTAAAAATTTGTTACATGAGGATACATCACATGAGGAACATTTCATACTTTTATTGATAAGAATATCTTAGTCATTGATTCAATCAGATTCACATCCACTGTTTTCGCCATAATGATTGATACTGAAATGTATCATCTTTGAGAAATATCGATCGATGTAAACAGTTTACTTTCGAGACGGAGATCTACAGTCAGATCAACACTTATGGGATTTTTTCGGAACAAACAGAAGTCATTCCTATAATGTCTGATGCATATAGAGTATTTTCGATTGATGATGTCAGTTTATGATGAGAAAAAGTACTTTATACTGATTAAATTCAAGAAATACATTCACTAATCTGTCAGTGCATCATTAATCCTTATGGTCTCATTACTCCATATTTACTTACTTACGTTCTTTACTCCTCATGGTGTGGCACAGGCCACCTACCAGCATTCTCCATCCAACTCTGGGTAGTCCTTTCCAGTTGTTTTTGGTTACTATTCATTATTTTGATATTTGCTTATAATTCTCGACACAATATGTTCCTTGGTCTTCCTCTTTTCCTTGCACCTTCAGAATTCCAACTTCTTCGTGATGCAGTTTGGTGATTTTTACAATGTATATGTTCTATCCACTTCCAACTTCTTTTCCTAATTTCCTCTTCATTTGGAAGCTGGTTTGTTCTCTCCCATTTCATATTTATTATCAACTAATTATTCCCTGATTACTGTGACTTTCTGAATGTGTTGCTGTGTGGTTAGACATTTCATATATATTGTTGTTGTTGGAATTTCGGGTGATAAGTGAATTAAGTGTAATAGAAAAGTGATCTGCATTCTATCTTCGTCTTTTGGTTCGACACTAATTTAGAAGGAGCTCGTGGATGACTGGATGTTATCTTCTTGATTGTTGTTTATTCTTCGATGTGTCGATTGGTGGGTCTGTCACTGGTTTTACTGACAAACTATGAACTAATGGACACTCGAATTACAAGGAGAGATAGATAGATAGATCATGCAACTATTTTATTTTGTCATTACGTCCCGATCACACGGGACACAATCCAAACTCGATCAAACAATCTGCTCTTTTCCTGACAATAAATTTCTAATGCAAGTTGATTAAATGGGAAGGTTGTAGATACGTGCATCTGATGTATACAAGAAAACGCAGAACCTTGGTGAATCAGTTCACTTAATTGTTTTCAATCACTCATTAAAAATCAGTCCAACATATGTGATATTCCTTTCATTTTAATTAATGTATTTAACATTATAGTGAATAGTTCCTGTCCACTATTAGTCTTTAGTTTAGATTGGATTAATAGAAATTCAATGATTATTAACGTTAACCTTATTGTGTTTGAATAAGTTAAAGAAAATAACATGTCAGTCAAATAGTATTTTAATAGTTGAGTTTATGAGTCAATTAAAGCTAGACGATCATTGAAAACCTTAAAGCACTGGACGGCCGTTTCATCCTAGTATGTGACTTCTCAATGGTGAGCATCCACGATCCTGCACCAAAGGGACTCGAACTCAAGACCTTCGGTCTCGCACGAGAATGCTTAACCTCTAGATCACAGACCTGGCATCCAACAGTGTCTAACTTCAACTAATTCATCAGATTGCACTACCGTCCAATATTGTCTTCAGCGAGTTACTATCTCACAACAGACCCAATTGAACTTCACTGGTCACTGCTTCTCACTAGAACTCCAAGAAATACCTCTTGAAGCCAGTCACTAGTAAGCATATGGTGATTATTATCCTGCGAGCGGGGTAATGGATGCGCACTTCTGAGAAGTTCCATACTAAAACGAAATGGCCGTCCAGCATTTTCAGGTTTTCCATGATGTTCTAGCTTTAATGCACTCTTCAACCCCACTATTAAGTTACTACAATCTTCACATCAAACCCTTCTGAAAATAGTATTTTATTGAATTGATTTAAGGATTAACTAAACAAGTGTATCTGCCCATACACTCGACTGATTTACGCACCACATTCATAATCATTCATTAATGTGTGTGATTATTATTGTTTATTCTGTTAATAACAATCGCTTCATCCAGTCAGCTTACATAAGTCACTTTTATTATGGTAAGAATCATTATCATTACTGTTAATCAGCGGAGAGGAATTAACAAAAATGTCTGAACTTGCTAATATTATTTTCAATGTACCATATAATTTAATGCCATTTAGTCTAATCTATAAAAGGTAGAAATGCTCCGTCTAGATTACTTAATTAGTCACTTACTTACACCTGTTACACCCCAGTGGAGCATAGGCTGCCGACCAGCTCTGTCTAGATATCGAGTTTTTTTTTTATAAAAAACTTTATCAGTGATATTTTTAGAACGTGATTGTAGAGATTGTTAAATTTCAATGAAATCATGAATTAATCAATGTTAGACTGCTATTGAAAACCTGAAGGCACTGGACGGCCGTTTCGTCTTACTACGAGTCCCCTCGGCAGTGCATATCCACGATCACACAATATTGTAGATTGGTTAAAGTTAAAAATAAACAACATTGAATTCTGGCTCAGTGATCTAGAGTTTAAGCGTTCACGCGAAAGACCGGATATCCTGGGTTCGAGACTTGTGCGACGAACCGTAGATGTATACTACTGAGAAGTCTCAGTAATTCCAGGTTTTCAATACTGAACTAACATTGATCATTTCATAATTTCAATTCAAACTCAACAATCTCTACAACTTCATCCTGATATTTTAGTATACTTAATTATTCTCTTTTTTTTATTGATTATATTCATTCATGATATAGATCAATTTACTATTGGATTTGGTTTATTCCCTAAACAAAATATACATAATTCTAAAACTCATGTTGCTAGCTTTATAGCTTCATATTTTACTAATGATCAACAACAAAAAATACCATGGATACTAGAATTTTATCTTTTATCTGGTGATTTATTATTCATCAATTGGGATCAATTATTCAATACTAATGAATCATTCAAATCTTCATCCATATCCAAAATTATCCCATTAAAATTTAATCAATGGAATAATATAGAAACTACAATTTATTTAAAAGGGGAACAACTTATTATAAAAAATAATAATAATCAATATATTACATCACAAAAATCAAATCGATTATCAATAATTACTAATCATAATATTGATTTATTAAAATTATTGATTGGTTTATTATTTGGGAATATTATTCAATTACAATCTAATATTAATAATGATAATCAATCAATTATTGATTTTGCAATTAATAATTTTTATATTGAATCACCTGATATTAAAAAATATCGTAAATCAAAAGATTTAACAAATATATTAGAACAAATACCAACTAATCCAATTAAATATATATCATCAGTAAATTTTCCTGAAGGTAGTTTTGTACGTTATGATTTTATGAATCGTTTACAAAGAACTGTTGAAGAAGAAGTATTAACAATTAATTTTACATTACCATTTGGTGTTACATCTGGTTTATTATGGTTTAGTGAAAGTGATCAATCAAAAAGTTATGTTTATATAAAGGTAAGTACATAAGTAAGTAAGTAAGTAAGTAAGTATATAAGTTTTAACTAAGTAGTTAAACTTGCATGGAGTACAATTCATTGACTTGTCTGAGGTAAAGATCAGTATCAGGCAAGGTTGTTTACTCTCAATCTTTCTCTTTCTCATGGTGATCGATTGGATTATGAAGACGTTAACATTTGCGGGGAAGTATGGGATACAATGGACAGGTAGGATGCAGCTGGATGACTTAGACTTCTCAAATGATCTGGCTCTTATATCACATACGCAACAACAAATGCAGGAGAAGACAACCAGTGTAGCAGCATCCTAAGCAGCAGTAAGTCTCAACATACAGAAAGGGAAAAGCAAGATTCTCCGATACAACACAATACACACCAATCAAGTCACACTTAACGGAGAAGCTCTGGAGGATGTATAAACCTTTACATATCTAGGGAACATCATCATTGGTACAAGGGGGTACCAAATACACATGCTGCACACAGTAACAATAAACTTGTGAAGAGATAGAGAATGTAAAGTGCGTATACTAAAAAGAATAACAAAAGCGAACAGAAATTAGTGTATGAGAGTGAAATAATAATAATGATAATGGGAAAAACACTTCAGTTGGCAAAAATACAACCAGAAATAATTCTTTCAGTTAAAGAAACTACGTTCACTTTTCTGAAGAAAATAAAATAAAGTTATGGCATAATCACCACTGGCTTCTATTCTCAACCATGTCTGATAATGTCCCAAGCTACTGTATAGCAACATCTCCAGGACCTCAATCAGGCAGTTGTGAAGGACCGACAGAAGCCGGTTTTGTACAGCTTTTTTTATACCACGACACCATGTCATACACTGACTACCTCACCTCTTCTTCCAACCGGTTCCAGCGTAGGTGAATAATAAACGATGTGGAATTCTCTGGGATGACATTTGTAGGACATGCCCAAACCAACGAACTAGGTGTTTCAAAATGGTGACACCAATTAAATTATCGCCGCCGTACTCGAACACACGATGCCGAATCTCTACATTAATAACAAGGCGTTGCCACTGAATGTCAGAGAGTCGTCTAACATCCTCAACTCGGAGGGGTCAGATTTCACAAACATAAAGCAAAACTGCTCTCAACGACGCGTTGTAGATCCAACCTTTTACATCCAGACTAACATCACGAAGGAGTCAAAGATGGCCCAGATTGGTATAGGCCGCCGTAGCTTTTACTATAAATGAATTATTCTAATCTTTCACGCCACCACCAGCACTTACGCAGCCACACAGATACGTGAACTTCTTGACTACCTTTATCTACTCACTATCCAGAGTTAGTTCAGAATCACGGTTATGCTAATCTTGTAAGATAGGACTGAAAAATTTATAGTTGACTGATCAATAAACATTGATCAGTGTTATGCTTGTTTAGTTCTTAGTTCTGATCGTTTCAATCTTGATCAAAGTAATGCTTCTTGATGGATTAAAACTTGAGTCATCCGGCACTGAGTACTGGTTAAACATGGCACTATTCACTAGTCAGGTATCAATATTCAAGCAATTCTCCTTATTTTTTTCTAGCAAGTGTCTAAGTAAATCCTTAGTCAGTACAAGTGTAAATTGATCTTTTCCAGGTTTCGAAACTCGATTTTTTGATGACCAATTGTTGAAGAATAGTAGATTCGTACGGTCTTCCAGAGATAAAGTTAGTTAGCATAATTATGTTTAAATTATAGTAATATACGAAACAAGTTGAGTAAAATTTAAGTAATGGCCATATTTAAAAGAGAGATTACAATGTTCCTAATATAGTGCATAATAGCATTGAAATCCAGGATGCTGGTTTTTTCCTATTTGGAACTTGTCAACTACGCGTACCACGACCCCAGTATTAATGTTCATCATGCTGAAATTCAGACCAAGAACTTTTCACACTAAACACCAACACGCTATACTTCTATTTCGGACCTAGTGATTCAACATAATTACTTCAAGTGTAAGATGACTGAAAATCACCAAAAGGAAACAGTAATCACGAATCTCACAGGGCAGGATCGTGGATGCTCACTGCCACCGAGGAGTCCCACACTAGGACGAACCGGCCGTCCAGTGCTTCCAGGTTTTCCATGGTGGTTTAACTTCAGTTGACTGATGATTTCAACTATATAAAATTACTAAAATATCCATAAAACTATCTCAAATCATTTGCCATTTATGAATTTCATTTCTTTCTTTTTTTTAACTTTTTCATTTAACTATTCAAGAACTCATTACTTTATTACATTTATGCAATTACTGATCAAACTGGTAAAGCACAACGTACAGTAACTGAAGAAATATTTTTGAATTCATCATTAATTCCAGAAAAACCACAAGTTTTACAACTAATTCGAGATAGAGATAATGTAAGTTAAAGTGTATACTATTCTTATTAACTTAATATTGTTTCTAAAGAAGTTCCTATGAAAGTTATGAATGTCAAAATGTATAAAATCGAATACACCAAACATAAACTGAGTGAGAACTTTTGAATATCTAGTGCATTAAGCCTTCACAATGATCTTGAAAGTTACTTGCCCCCAAATGCCCTGGTACGGTTGAGAGTGGGGACACTCCGCTCTCCCTCTCCGAAAGCTCTCGCATGGCCACGCGTATATAGCCTGTGACAGGGAAGTCCAACTCATTGCCTTCTTGTGACATTACTGTTGTTTACAAAATTGAGAGGACGAGAAGCGAATGTCCGGCAAGAGCTTTAACCGGGTTGGTGGACACAGAAAGTTCACCTAGGGGAGTTGGGAAACCCTGATTCTAAATCAAGGGTGCACATGGGCTGAAATATCCCGAGGGAACAAAGGGCGTACGAACCAATCGTTGCTCACCATCTACCATGAGATTGCATCTCCTTACGATGCTCCACTACCTTGTTGATCAGACCTTAAGCTCAATGGCTCCGTGTGTGGCCCCCTAATCAAACCATCTGCTTCAGTTTGGGCACCTGGACAGTATCACAGCCCTCACACAAATCAAATGAGATTTGTGTGGCGCATATATATTTGGTGCCCCTTTGTACAAATATTTATGTGTTTAAATAAATAATAATAAATAAATAAAAGTTACTTACTTACTTTCACCTTTTACTCCTCAAGGAGGAGCATAGGCCTCACTCCACTTTTCTTCATCCAACCCTGTCCTGGGTAATCCATTGCAGTTCTTTTCAGTTGTTATTCATCCTTTTCATATCTGCTTGTATTTTCCGGTGTAATGTGTTCATTGGCCTTCCTCTTTTCCACTTCCCTTCCGGATTCCAAGTTAGGGCTTGCCTCGTGATGCAGTTCGGTGATTTCCTTAATGTATGTCCTATCTTTTTCCGACGTCGTTTCCTAATTTCCTATTCAGCTGGAAGCTGGTTTGACCTTGAAAGTGGTTGTTGTTTAGTTTTACTACATAAAACTTGAAGTTATAGGAAAATTGACATTCAACTGAAGTCGTTTTTTCACGTTGGGCTTCTATAAAGTGTTACTTAACTTAACAGAATCATACAAAATGAAGAATGTTCCCTCAAAACATTACATCAATCGATCACTAAGTAATGACCGGTTTCATGTTTCCCTAGCCGTTCAATAATGATTGAATTTTATCCATCAAGTTGTAATATGACTATCAGTCTAAGCAATTTGACATTACGTACATTTATGTTGAGATCTTAGGTGGTGGTTGGAGGCAGTGGATTTGGAACTTTGCTTGATCTAGGTTTAAATCATCCAGTTCAAAGAACGTAACTCTAACAAAATCATGCACTTGATCCACAAATCATTTCCATTATACGAATATGACAACAATACTGGAACCATATACTCGTATAACTAAGAAAATATTTCTGAAAACCTTATGCAGTCTAATCTACTGTAGATGGCGTCGAGTCTCGATTGACTATGGTCACCACTTTAGTAAGATTACGCAACCGAAAATGACTTGATTCCTTTGATAGCTCGTGAATCAGAAGGCTGTAATTAGTCCAGATAAAGTATATTTATTGGCAATCTCGTGGTGTCGAAAGAACAGCGAGACGTGCCAACGAGTACAGGCAATAAGGGCTTCAGACTTTAGACAAATCAAACATATTCTCAGACATTCACTTAAGCATCATAAAATAATAGAAACAAATGAAGAGCCAAATCTATGTATTAGAAAAGTAATAAGCACGATCTACATTATTGCAGAGTTTATTAAGAACATGGCTAAATGTAAGACGAGACAGAAGACATAGCATACAGGAAATATACTGGAAGGATTCTCTCTCACACATACATGCATCCCTTATAAAGAACTCTTCATTGAAGAGGTTCTTCCGACCAGCAGTAATGTCTTGATTACTTAATTATTCAAATCAACTTTTCACTTAATGTTCTTCAGACTGAAGTGTTTTGATCGGTTGACATAAAATGTGGCACTGGTTATTGAATGTGGATAAATCCTAGTTTAATTACTCCCTAAGGTGTCTTTTTGCTGGTGAGCGGCCTATGCTCCTCGACGAGGTGTAACAGGCGTAAGTAAGTAAGGTGTCTTTTATCAACTAGCCAACTTGTTTTGTTAGCAAATGCTTTTAGTCAGTTTTCCAATCAATCAGTTAGTCATTTATAGAAAATGAAGAACTTGGCGCATTTGTACATCAACTCTATTTCCAACATCATATTAGCACACTAACATGATATTGTCATGACAAATGTCAGAGTAAATGATGTAGTAACAGTATCACTCATATGATAGTCTTCACTTACCTACACAATTCAGTCCAGCTGTTAATGATTTCATGAACTGATAACATGTCTTTATTTGAACAGGCTTGGCTTTCTTACAGATTAATTCTATGCCGCGCTACATTGTTTATCAAGGTAAGGAATGGTTTGGCATATGTCATAATCATTTCAATCTATGAATATTCACAGTTTCATAAACCGACTGATCATCTTCAAATAGTAGCCTACTCCTAGCATTATTTCTGATAAGGCCTGATTTATTTTCATAGCCTTTTCTAATACTTACTTACTTACGCCTGTTACTCCCAATGGAGCATAGGCTGCCGATCAGCACTCTCCAATCTACTCTGTCCTAGGCCTTCCTTTGTAAATCTATCCAACTTTTGTTCATTCTTCTCATGTCTGTCTCCATTTCTCAGCGTATTGTGTTCTTTGGTCTTCCTCTTCTCATTTGGTCTTGTTACGCAGTTGGGTGATTTCCTTAAAGTGTGTCCTATCCACTTCTAGCGCTTCTTCCTGATTTTTTCCTCCGCTGGAATCTGGTTTATTGTCTCCCACAGTAACTTGTTGCTGATAGCCTCTTCTAAAAACCCTAAGCTAAATCTACACGGCAACCTGAACTTAAGAGAAAAGGTGAGAAGTGCTAAAAAAACCCTTTATCCCGAGGTTAGTTAATGTACGGAAAAACTAGGGTATTTATAATATTACAGACGATCTTAGGCTTTTGGAAGCATACTAAATATAGTAGAGACATGGGAAATATTTAATCAGAAACGTGACACGTGATTCTTCACTTTCTAGATGTTTCTTAGAAGCTTCTAATCAACGTTGATTAGGTAAAATGTTTCCCAGCGTTTCTTGGATTCCTGTACACCTTTCTAAGGAATAATTTGGAACTCTTTAACAGTCGCTTCCTCAAATTTTATTGATTGATTGATTGACCAGGATGCATTCTAGCATACTGCTTCATTAAACTGATTGTTTAATTATGACTGATATCCTCAGCTAAGATAGTGTTTAACATGTTTATTCTTTACTATCTATGTGCTTTTCAAATCTATAGTATCCCGTTTCCTAACTCAACAGATCATTAGTAATATAGTAATGGTTTTTAAGCCTATTCGATTCTCAATACAATTGGATCAGATGAGGTTATCAGTAACTGTGATTAATTCCAGATGTTGACTGTTTGCATCTCATGCTGTCATTCAACTCGTCAGTTGCGACAAAAATCTTTTCAATACTTCGTAAACTACAGATAACAATAGTAGTTTTCACTTGATAAGTCCTATAAAGGACGAAACACTTTTAAAAGGAATCTTGTTATCTTGTACTACTATTATTTAAGGGAAAGTAGACAGTGATTTGTTTATAAATACAATCAGAAAGATATCAGAACTATAACCTATACTTTTCCTACCCTTTACGCTTATCATAATATATCAGTCAAATTGATAACATGGTCTTAGTTTGGGTTGTTTTAGCGTGTCAGTGGTAGGGTACCAGGTTATCTAATGAATATATTGTATGACAATCGTATACTTAACAGAATAGTCTCAGGAAACTAAATGCCATATTAGTGTTGCCGTAAAAGTTTAGCCTTATTTCAACTTTTGTGTAGGATTTAAAGTTAATTTTAACCCTTTTTTTAATATTTTTAATTCTTCGTGTGCATTTGATGTTTCATTGTAGTTGACAATTACACTTGATCATCGTAGCCAAGCAAGTAGATCAATCGCTGGTCGAGCACCATTAGTATCAACTGATGGAAAAGTTTATCTTGGTGGATCAGTTGATCCAATCAAAGATACTGAAGGCAAAGTGGATAGAACTTTTGAAGGACGTATTACAAAGGTAATTTGTTTGTTCACATGAAATTGAATGTTTTTCAAAAAAATTTTTGTTAAACATATGAAATATATTGCAATCTAAGCGTCTTCAACATTACTATTCTTCATAAAATCAGTCAACTGTGTTGTATTGAATGGTAGCCAACTATGATGTTGATAAAAAAGGTTTCTATTCGTTGCATGAACAATAAAACTGAGGTTGCGAAGGAAGCTGTTTTTTTAATCAAGTGAATGGAGAATTAACTGCTTCCCGTGGTCTCACTGATGCTGGTATATCTTAGGCTCTTTTGGACAGTTGTTTGTGCACTGTCCGACTGAACGGGATAGTAAGGACTCGGGAAGATAGGGACACTCGTCATTTCTTCTTAGTCGTCTTTGCCTACTCTCGCACTGACTGTAGCTCAGATGATGTAAAAGATGAGTTTTACGGAAAGCTTTCCGACCTTCTCCGAAAAGCTAGGCGCTCAGATGTAGTAATAATGGCTGGTGACCGAGTAAGTAATGCAGTCATTAAGAACCGGGTATTAGGTAAGGATGGCAAATCGGTTGATGAAGTAGTGAAACTTCATCAGTTGAGATGGCTGGGACACGTGTTACGTATGTCCAACCACTGACTGCCCCGACGCGCAATGTTTTATAGCGTAGGATTAGGTTGGAAGAAAACTAGGGGCGGCCAGACCACTACTTCTACCACTATGGGATTTGAATCGACAACTGCATCTCCGTGTTAATATGATAAGGCAGCTCGAACTGATGTACGCATGTACGAAATTTTACCTTGTGACTGACTGACTGATATTACATCAGAAATGTTCTCATAATTAAAAGACTCGAAACTAAGTGTTCTAGGTTCGATCTCTGGTTTTCGTGTAATGAATGCGCACTTCTGAGGAGTCATATACTAGGACGAAATACTTGTCCAGTGCTTCCTGGTTTTCAGTGGTTCCCTGACTTAGATCAGTCTTTGATATCAAGTTAACTATTTAGAAATCTCTACAAACCCTTACAGTAACATATCCTATTAACAGAATAAGTTTAGTTTCAGAATATTGATAGCTATGGTTAGTAGAATGAGATAGAAAAGGACATTTCTCATATGGTGTACCATGAGAAGTTCGTAAACTAGAATTTTCTTGAAAATGAGATTTGGCATCATGAACTGACTTCAGTTAGATAACCCTTTAATATCAGAAAACATTAGGCACCAATTTCGTCCCAGTATGGGTTTCATCGATGCTGTCTATCCACGACCACAATAGCGATTAAACTCAAGACTATTTAGCTACTGAGTTGATATCCAGTGACTTATATTTCTATCTACAGTCAATTACCATTATATTTCTTGATCATTATTTAATTTGTAGTTTACATCATGAACTTAATTTTATTAAATAATGGTACAGATGTAGAATACCCTGGACAGGTGTTTTGACGTTTTATGAAAATCCTAAAACGTGTGTTACCACAACCATGTCCAAGATGAAACTCAGTATATTCAGGTTTCCTGTCGAGTAGATCACCTTCGTACGATCAAAGCCACATTCAACGATTTCAATTCACGAATTTTTAGACCAACATCAATAATCTTCATCAGTGATTTAATGATATTCAAAACTATTAGCTTCAATTTAATCATAGTTTCATTCTCCAGTACATATTCGGGACTTCCTCTCTTGATCAATTATCTACGATTTTTACATAAACATCATTGTTAGAGATGGTTGGACTCTAGCGATGAAATTCAGAGTGTGTGTTTCGTCTTTTTTTGGCACTCGTCGTCTAGATACACCAGCATTCCAGAGTTAACTTTTACTCCAGGAACCGAATCCTTTACTATTCACTTCAAACTCCATCGAGTTATTAACTTACCTACTGAGTTCAGATAGTCACTATTTCATTTGTGTAATGGTATGAAGTTTAATTTATTTGGATTGGTCTTTTGAATCTTTTCATTGGTCTTTTAAACTGTAAAGTAATTGCTGGATTAATAATCTGTGATTGTCTTTATCACTTTCTATCTTCATTTACTCGTCCTACTCAAATCTAGGCTGAAATTACAAGAAAAGGTGATAAAGATGTCAATCTATTAAATGTTTTAATTGATCCTAAATGGAAAGATTCTATACAACAAACTGGTATAACTGATGTAAGGTTTCGTTTACCTAAAGCGCAACTTATTATTGGACCAACATCATCAAATAAACGTTTTACATCATTAGAATCAGAATTTTCCCGTACACCAGTTCCAATTACATTTATGGGTACTGATGATTCAATTGTACGATTTGATACATGGAATTTTGAATTATATCGATCATTTGAAATTAAATTTTCCACTTATGAACCAAATGGAATTTTATTCTTTGTGTAAGTTAAATGAAATTGAGGTCAGTTTTTTTTATAAAGAAAAAGATTGGTGAGACTATAATTTATGGATGATCTTTGAGCGAAGCCTTAGTAACCTTCAGAATGTTCACCTACTAATCTAGGACTAAATGACGATTATGAACTACGGTGACCTTCAGAATGTTAACCTACTTACGGGGGCTAAATGAGAGTTATAAAGCAGTTTGAAGTTAAGAGATTATGATTTATCGTTGATGGTTAGGGTTAGGAATTAGATTGAAAGTTTTCATCACGAACTGACATCAGCTAAAACGTCAAAAAGTTATTTAGCCAAATGGATGAGCGAATTTCGCGCTAAAATCCAAGGTCAATTATCTTGAACCTGATTGGTTCGTTCATAAATTATAGTTTTGCCGATTTTGAAATTCTTTCGTTGTAAGGATAGTTCCTTCCTTGTTAAAGTCTTCTTTCATTACAGATTGATGTGTTTGATCATACGATAGTATTTGTCAACGATACACATTGCCAGCCTTAACTAGGATAAAATATAAGATCATTAAGTTGAAGTCTAAGGGTTAAAATTATGATCTTTTTTTCTTCAAAATGGGTCACAAACATATGGTACAATCGAAAGCTAACTGAAATAGACATACATGAAGACTATTCAGTCATGGATATCAAGCATATCCAAACTTTACATTGTAATAAAGCTACTATTTCAAAATGATATCCTAAAGTGATATAGAATACTGATTTCATAGATTTGAGATCATGAGTCAATTGAAGCTAGACCATCATCGAAAACCTGTAAGCACTGGACGGCCGTTTCGTCCTATTATGGGACTCCTCAGTGGCAGTGCGCATCCACGATCCCGTACTCGCGAGATTAAGCATTTTTTGGGTGGGGTTTGGTTAGGCAAATACTGAGAACCGAGAAACATTGAGCAGTTTCATCGTTCTAACAGGGGATCCTTCAGAGATCAGATTCAGGTGAACGTCTAACCACTGAGGTGACGTCCAATGTTATACGCTAACTTGGACTAATTCACTTGGACTAATTTACTAGATGATCTCCCATCGGCAAAGGTCATATTTTTCTGATTTTGGACATGATTGAATTCCATTGGTCACTACATCTCATTAGAACTTGGACAGTCACCTCTTAAAGTTACTGGCTGTTGAGTGAGGTACGAGAACAAGACATCTATTCAGTATTGTTTCATTTTCAATAGTTAGCTGACTGAAATGAATTCGAGATGTGAACTTTAAAATTTAACTATCTTGTTATACCCTATAATAACAGTGTGTGTTACTGATACAATCTGCTCCAATCCAATGAAAACCTACATTCATTTTAAACATCAACACAAAACTAAGAGTTTTATAATCCAAACTTTATGTTTGAGTAATCTGTCTAAAATTGAGTCCTTTCTATAATTAACATCATATGTTAACATTGTATTCATTAGTATACACAGTATACATATACATTGTTACCTCCGATATTGATATCATCTGTTTAGCGGTATGCATCAAAGTGTAGTGTATACACGATGATTAGTTTTGATGCATTCAAATATTATGATTTGTATAGAAAAGATATAATGTAGCTAGCAATGGAATGTAGAATGTACGTTTCATCCTGTTCGGGTTTCGTCAATTGGTTGTATCTACATACAAGAATTGAGGTGCATTCCGGGACTCATACCCTAGTACCGTTCACTCTAAAATTGATTGAATTGCAGTCAAAAATATCAACAACGAGGTAATCCGAAATATTTACAAACTAAATTAAAATTCATACTCGTTGTACAAGTTAATGGTCAGCTGGTCTAAGTAGATAGGGCGAAAACGTATTAGCATGTATAGGAAAAGGTACTGGGTTCGAGTCCCGGTTATAGCAGTGACACAGATGAAAATACATCGTAAGTGGGAAATGTGCCCCATAGATCGCACTGATAGGTACAATCCATCTATGCTAAAACACATTAGACATAATTTCGATACTGAGTTAATCCAATCTATGGTTGATAAGGTTATGTGATATGATTCAATATCGTTTGTAGTAACTCAGATCCATTCTCTCTTTATCTTCTCTTAGATTTAGAGTTTAAGTATGATCATATACTTTTTGTCCCGTAAGTTCATCCTTTCTTTTTCAACTACGTTGTCTATACTTATTGTTTCCTACTACTACTATTGATACTGTTACTACTTCTACTACTTTGACAATTGTCTTTATTTGTCTAGTATTTTAGTAAGGATTGAATTGTGTCTATGAAGTTGCATTATAGTCACTAATCTGAATGACTCAACTTGTGATTCACTATGTTGAGACATAAGGTGTCTAGCGTTAGTCCTAACCTAGGTTAACTAACATTAACAACCACTAAAACGTACCAGTATTCTTGAAGGAACTGATAACTTTTACTGGATTCAAACCCTTCTGAACCCAGTTTTACAATCTAAGATGATGCTAACCACTTAGTGGTAACGTCTCAGGCTATGAAGCTGGGCGGCGCTGCTTTGAATCCTATGAGGAGTATCAATTCTCTCAAACTTACGCGTACACCTTACTGACGAATGTCAACTGTCACAAAACCTAGGTCAAACAGGATTTCCTTCAATAACCTCAATTAGCTTAACATAATGACACTGTTGTTCATTTTTTGTTAACTAGTAACTATGAGAATATTGGTTTACTTTCAACTAGATTCTATCCCATAAATCCTTTTTCTAATATGAGAGGGAAAAAAACTAGGTCTCCGATTTATTCACTAATCACTTACTTATATATATAATCCAAGGTATCCTCTCATAATTTCCTTTTACTATCAATGGATAAAGGTGGTAAGAGATAAGATACAAGTTATGGGAATTTCAATTTAACTGAAATGTTAGTATAGTAGGTTTAAATGATACTAATGTCGAATTATGTTATCCTTATATAAAACCTATCTTTCATATATTACCACCACTAAATTAACTACTTCTATGAATTCAGTGTTCATCTTGTTGTACTAACGAGGTATGGCAACTTGGACCGATGCATATGTGTGCCTGATCCTACGTTGTAACTGACTGACTGACTGGATTCATTTAAGCCTAATCAATAGTACATTTACATGGTACACCTAATTTGATATATATTGTAACTGGTAAAAAACAAAGTGGATAGATAGATATATAAAGACACACACACACACACAAGTACACACTTGTATTTTGTGTAAGAATCGATAAACAAAGTGACTTTTTGGTCGTTTCCTTTCATCTAAAAGATATGATAATATGTATATCTTGAATTGTTTGAAAGTATAATCTACTTAAGAGTTTAAATGGTTAAGATATTCATGAAGTTATAATTATTATCTAGTTGTAATTCCAGGCTTTGATGTAATCACAATTGATTGATAACTGGGTGGTGATCAATGTCCTTCTTAGTGCAGATCGAATGCTATCGACCAAGTTGCAATGTAGTCACTAGTCTAGTTGACTCGACACTGTGTGCACTATGTTGAGATAAGATGGTATTTGGAGGTGGTCAACAGGAAACCCTGGACCCGGGTTTCATGCTACTTGACACTGCTCAGCAAGTTTTACCTGTAATCTTGAGGAAACTGGTGCTTCCTGGCGGATTCGATCTCACATCACCCAGCTTCACAGTCAGAGACGTTATCACTGAGTTATTCGGGCATCCAGGTTTTCTTGTTGACCACCTACAACCGCCAGGACAGGGTTGGATGAATATATGCTGGTGGCTGGACTATGCTCCTCCACGAAGGATAACAGGTGTAAGTAAGAAGTTAACCTCCAACAACCATCTTAAGGCTTTGGTGTCCTAAACGTGGACGATTCTACGTAAAATAACTCATTGGTAATATCTGAGATTGTGAAACTAGGTGATATGCTTTCTAATTCCAGTTAACATATCATTTCCTATTAAACTTGTAATAACTCCTTCTTGACGAATTGTGATTAATATGAAAGATAGATCAATCAGGGTTTCATATGGACTACCTCCAACAATCTAACAAGATTATTTTGATAGTTTGTTAGCTGCATTTAAAAGTAAATCCGGCTTAACTCATGATTGTGTTTAATGTTTAGTTTCCAATTAAAACAAGTTAGATAGCTTTTCGGTATTCACTAGCTTATCGGTGATATTGTTTCTTATTGAATGCTTAGACTGACAAAATTGTATATTGTTTTTAAGAAATTACTTTTGAGTATGACTCAAGCACATTGCTGAAGGATGACTAAGGAACATGACTAGAAAAAGTTGATAGTAGACTTAGACTACTAACTAAATAATCAGTAGCTAACAAAACTCTTATAAAATAAAATAAGGGAAGACGATTATGGATTGATGTTAATGACATTTCTTGTCATCGGCTTCAAATAAGGGTGTACTGGGTATCTGTCTCGTAGTAATCTTAAACTTTTACTCAATTTCTTGCTTCAGAAAACAACAGTGAAGTTCTTTGATTTTCCATATTGTAGACTTTCATTAATTCTTGACGATACTTTACAATGACAGTACTATCGGTGATGTCTCTCTGTAGACTCTGTTGCTAATTCAACTTTAAAAATGTACTCCAAAATGGACTTGATTGCTTATTATCCTGTTATTGGTTTTATACACACTGACTGCCTTCAAGAAAACTTATGTTACGTTTTAAGTTCCTGTTTGTCTTTTGTATATTCGTCTAGGAGGTTTTGTCACATAAATTAGTTTAAATGAGATTATATATCGAATAATCATTTAGGTGATGAGATGATAGAGAAGGTTCGCAGCTTAGGAATATAATTTTGGTGGAGCTACTTTCTTTGAACTAGGTGGTTAAATTATGAAGATCATTCATTGTCCTTCTAGACAACGTTATCAGCGCTAAATTCAGAGAGAAGTGAACTACGTGGTTTAATACATACATGACTAACAGGTTAAACTGTAAAATCCAATTCTCATTAGTTTTTGCTGACTTCATGTCCTGCTATGATTTGTGTATCTTGACTATCTCGTTTGACCTGATTCGTGATTGTATAGTTGTCCCGGGGTGGACATCAACTCTGGGATACAGAAATATCCATCTGGTCGGTCCCATATGGAATGAAACGTGCACCATGAATCCCACTTCTAACCACCATCCATTTCTGGTCGTAATCCCTGTGACTGAAGGGAATATCGATTCAATCCTTACAGGATGCACATATACCAAAAGAGACTGATCAGTTACCGTCCTAAATGGCGATGGAAAGATTTAAACAACCAATACAAATGAATAATACATTATTGTTTGTAATCAAACAAATGATAGAAGGCTTTATAATGTTATATTACTTTTTATTAAAAAGTAGTTCAGAAAATATTTTGATCAAATGTAATCATTTTGTACTACCTTAACAAATTTATTATGTAAATGAGTTTTTTCGCAATGCGGAATCGTGGATGCGTACGGCTGAGTAGCCCACCTGTAGGACGAAACGGCTGTTCAGTGGTTCTAGGTTTTCCATGATGGTATAGCTTCCATTAACTCATGATCCCAGTTATTGAAAAAATTAGTTTTCATGAAATTTGTTTTGTGTCTAGGAGTGGAGTCCAGGAGGCATGTTTCATACTTCTTCATGTCCATCAGCATCTGCTACCTCCGTGTTGATGTTACCACTGTGACTCGAATCAAGCACTTCATACTTTAAGCCTTTAATGCATTGCTTATTGTGATACCGATTATGGTAGACGATTGCTTGTGCAACAAAGATCTTAGTACATGACACTGACGATTTTTAAGTTGAATGAATCGTCCGTTTTAGATCCTTTTACTGAATACTACATAGTTTCCCTTAAATGTATGAATAAATGACAATATTAGAGTATTCTATTCTATATTTTTGAATACATGGTGCAAAGGAGCACCAGATACATATGTTCCACACAAATCTCATTTGATTTGTGTGAGGGCTGTGATACTACCCGAGTGCCCAAATCGAAACAGGTGGTTTGCTTAGGGAGACACACCCGGAGCCTTTAGCCTAAAGGTCTGATCCACAAGGCGTTGGACCATCTTGAGGAGATGCAGTCCCATGACAGCCGGTGACCAACGATTGATTCATATGCCATTTGTTCCTTCAGGATCCTGGAGCCCATATGCATCATTGGTTTGGAATTAGAGTTTTTCATCTCCCCTAGGTGAACTTTCCATGTCCACCAACCCGGTTAAAGCACCGGATATTCACATTTTGTCCTCTTAATTTCGTAAACAACACTCCTGATGCGAGAAGGCAATGAGTAGGACTTCTTTGACAGAGGCTATATACGCGTGTCCATATGATAGCATTTCGAGAGGGAGAGTGAACTCTCCTCCCTTTCATCTGTACCAGGGAATTTGGGGGCAAATGAACAAACGTTAACTAACATTACGCAACAAGTAAAATAAAAGTGACCAAAATGTATTATCAAGATTGTGTTTTTTTTTTCACATGGTAACTAATTATTTAATATCGATTTTTGTTTTTATTTTTATTTATTTTTATAGTGGACCTGATCAAGAACATAGAGATTTTGTCTGCGTAGAATTATTCGATGGAAATGTTTATTTTGTTTATGCAGTTGGTGGACATTATAAACATATACGATTGAATCCACCAAAAACAGTTGTTAATGATGGAGGTATATATAGTGTATATGTATCACGTAATGCCCAGCATAGATTTACTGTAAGTTAATTTATAAATTAAATATAAATGAAATGACTTCTTTATATTGTAAGAGTAACTCTTGTTACATTTTGTGGAATAGTATAGGCGGCCCATCAACATTCTCCATACAACTGTGTACTGGACAATCCTTTTCCAGTTGTTTGTAGTTGTTATTCATCTTTTTCATATCTGTTTACAATTCCTAGCAAAATGTGTTTTTTGGGCTTCTTCTCAGTTCTCTTTCAGGATTCCAATTTAACGTTTGTCTCGTGATGCAATTTAATGATTTCTACAATGTGTGTCGTACCCACTTCCAACTTCTTTTCCTGATTTCTTTTTCGTCTAGAAGCTGGTTTGTTCTCTATCATAGTAAGTTGCTGTAGATGGTATCCGACCAATGGATGTGGATAATTTTGCGTAGATAACGGTTTCGAAGTAGCTATACATTTTTGATGGTGGTTGTAGTAGTTCTAGAAGTTTCAGCTCCGTAAAGTAGAACCATCTTGACGTTTACATGGAAAATTGAGGCTTATGTAGACTAACAGACAGTTGTTTTGAGTTTCATAGAATTGCCGCGCTTGCTTCGCCAATACATGTGTTTCTATCTATATCAGATCTCTTTTGTTTAACAATGATGCTGCCTAGGTACACTAATGTTTCCACCTGTTCTAGATCTTCTTCATCATGCGAGATTTGGTTGGTGCCCACTATGTTGTATTCCAAGATTTTACTTTCTTCTTCGTGTATGTTGAAGCCCACTATAGGAGAGGCTTCTGGAAGTTATGAAGACTGTCGAATTTTATTGAAATCATTAATAATTAGCTTCAAGGGGAAATTTTCGGATTTCTAGTGAGAAACTGTGACCGATTGAGTTCAACTGTGTTGAGTGTGAATTTAGTTATCAGCAAAGACAATAAAAGGTGATCACACAGTATCTTAGATTGATTAAATTTAGACATATGTATAATTGGGTGTCTGATCAGTGGTCTAGAGGTTAGATGTTCCCGCTTGAGACTGAAAGTCTCGACTTTGACCTCTGTTGGCGGGATTGTGAGATGGCAAAGCTGAGGAGTCCCATACTAGGACAAAAGTGAAGTACACTACTTCCAGATCCTTAAAGGTTGTCTAAATTCGGATAGTAATCTTAATATAAGTTTGAATTACCATCTCTATAAGTCGCTTCAGTAGCATCCACGTATGATTTCACTTTAGATTCTCGAACTGATATATATCCGTGACATAACACATTATTGATATTCATTGTCGTGGTTACATTCACTACCGATTATGTAACAACGACTCTATAACTATTTCTATGTTTTATTCATATTACGTAATCAAGTTCACCTTTCTTTCTTTATGTTGATAGGTCAAATTCAATAATCAATTAATTGATGTTGAAGAAGGTAAAGAAGCTCATCAGGCTGCATTTGCTACATATACTTATATTGGAAGTATTGATAATGTTGGTCGTTTACCATGGCATGTTTGGTCACGTGAAAATTTCGCCGGTTGTATTCATTCAATATTAGTAAATGAAAATAGTTACTTAGATGTTTCATCGTAAGTGGAATAGATGAATTATTATGCCAACTGACTATTTGCCTACCTTCCTCCCCCCCGCTTTTGGCATTGGTTTTCTATTCTAATGATATTCAATGAATTAAGTTGGTTGTTGAATAGAGTTGAGTTGAACAGATACTGTCCCGACGTGCAATGCTTTATGGTGTGGGACTAGGTTGGAAGAAAGCTAGGGACGGTCAGACCAAAATGTGGCACAAATCGATGAAGTCGCTGACAAGTGGACTGGGCCGTGTTGGTAGGTGTAGACTACCTGGTTGGAATGCGCGAGATGATAGCATTCGATGTTTAGAGACCTTGAATTACATGGCTCAAAATCGTTTACAATGGCGAAGGTGCATCCACTCTTTGTGTTTTTCCAAATTCTAATCTTCTGAATTCTTCATGTCCCTATCCTTTCCCTCTTTCCAAATTTATTTGACTGGATTATACTCTTTGAATAACATCTTCACACTCTAATCTTTCAGTTTACTGTTTATACTCTTACTACTTCTACCAATATGGGATTTGAATCGACAACTTCATCTCTGTGCCAATGTGGTATGGCAACTCGAACTGATGTACGTACGTACGAAGTTCTACGTTGTGACTTATTGACTGAACAGATAATAGAATTACTGAACATCAGTTTCCAACTTTTTAAGTGACCATCAAATTAGACTATTTAAAAATCATTCATTTCTAAGTATTGAATTTATGTGAGTTACTCTGGTGACTATCGGGTTTAGTTGTCAACAGTAATCAGAACACGGTCAATAGTTGTCTAATCTGAAGCTATTCGAAAATGTACCTCAGTCCGACTACCTTAACTTGACTTGTTGTGCTCAATAAGTTTACTGAAACTGATTAGTCTATGACTATCTACATTAACAATCTAACAAATAAAAGATGATTGAAAAAGGAAATTATTAACTTCTCAATTCCTGTTCATCAATTGTGATGTGTTACATGTTTAGTTGACGATTTTAAAGTCTTGGAACATCGGTTGACATCATTTTATGGAGTTCAGTAAAGTAACAGAGAAAACTTTCCAATCTCCTTATTTTGGGGGGGAATTTCGCCCATTTTTAAGGGAAGCTGCAATAGAAAACTTTGTCACGAAAACCTCGAAATTTCCCCAGGTTTGAGGAAAACGATCAAACTTTTCACGACTTTGGGGAAAACCCCAAAACTTGTGTTCGAATGAAAATAAAATATTAAAAGTCTTTTATAAATAATGCCACTGTTTACCAGTCATAATTGTGTTCTCATAATAGATGGTAGCAATCGATAGAAATCTGTTTTTGTTAATTGTGTATGTGCGCTACTGATGTCGACAGATATAAGTAGTATGTATTGTCAATGAAAAATGAAATGCTTGGTGACAGAAGGTTAGGATGATCGAAGAAAGGAGAACGGGAACAGAGAATGATTGATATGGAAATGAAAGAACAATGAAGTCTGAAACGATTGATTGACATTTTGCAAATGAATAATTTACTATATGGATCTTAGATTTTGCCAAGACACTCTGTAATTGTGTGTTTACATACATTTGATTGTTCCCAATTGTGTTCACGTTCACTACAATAGTAGTAATTCTTACTATTCATGGAACTTATATTCTGACTGAAATTCAATTTATCTATGGTGAAGCAATAAAATCAGTGGTATTACTTATGGAACATTCATCATTGTAACATCGTTCTATTACAGCTTGATTATATTGAGGGATTGACGAAACACAGTTGTTCAGTCAGTTAGTTATGATCAACTTTGAGGCTGACACAAATATATGTTAGCTCAACTTGTCATATCACAGTAGTTCAACAATCTGAAATCGATATGATGGATAGTAAACGATTCGAAGTAATGATAGAATTAATGACATTGGGAAAGACCAAATATTGAGAGTAGTTTGGTAAGACAAAAGGAAAAAAATATATATAATGGAGTACTGGAGTTCAAGGTCTATAGAGATGTTAAAAAGTGTATATACCTGCACCATAGTAATCATTTCTATGAGCATAAGATGTAGATGAGACAATATACACAGACTGGATGTGAAGGTTGCTTAATTCATACTGTGGTGTGGTCTACTTATATCTATATAAGTAGTATATGGTGTGGGTCAGACATAGAATGTATTTTGACAGAAGATCGATGAGTAAAGAACTGAAATGAAGCGCAATCGTTTGGAAAATGCATAAGCAGTGGAATTAGAGAAGAAACAGTGAAGATTGAAACAATTGGTTGTTAATTTGCAAATTGACTGTTCATTGTATGGTAATCAGAATTTACTGAGATAGTCTGTAATTTTGGTTAAATACATTCGTTTGTCCCCAACCAGTGTTCTGTTCACTACAATACAATTAGCCAATTGAGTATTTGTCGACCTAATAAATAGATCTCCAAGACCAGTAGGATGCAATTGAGTGCATTATCCGGCACCCGATCACAATTTAATCGATCTAACTATACATGATGTTCATACTCCTATTTCAATAGAGTATGTTAATTAATGCAAAGATCTCAGTCTTACTAGAGGTTAGTTGTGGTACGAACAGCTCAAACCCAAAATCTCGATCTGTGAATCTAAGTGGATACCGGATTGAAATCCTACAGAATTCATCAATTTCCTGAAGATTTCAAGTACACTTTGCTGACGAGTGACAGCTAGCACACAACCTGTTGACTACCTCTATTTACCTAGCATATATGAGATAAAAACTGAAGTATTTACAAGAAGGTTTCATTAAATAGTCTTTTAACCACGTTAAAAGTAACTGAAGCTAAAGGTTCGAACTACCAAATTTCAGTTCAGTATGTTTCCATCAGATTTACTCTTCATATATCAACCAAATAATCTATATCTTCTACCATTTGTGTTTACAGTCGAATGATTCAACATACTGATATTGGCAAAGGAATTCGTTTAGGACAATGTGAAGTACCAAAACAACGTTGTAATGAAAAAATCTGTGGTGGTGGACGATGTTCTAGGCGTTCATATCCATTTTTAGAAGAATTAAATTTTGCTTGTGATTGCAGTGAATCAGATAAAACATTTCCAGAGAAAACTATGGATATTCGACGATCTGTTGGATGTGATCGAGGTACCTATTAATATTAATATTATTATTATTGGTAGTAGTAGTAGTAGCACTCATATTTAGGTTCTTCCTGTGGCATCGACTATTGGTTTGGCATGCTTGAGCTCGATCACCGTGGGATAATAGTTTAAACATGATTGTTTGAAGTCCGCAGCCCCAGTTTCTCGTTTCACTCCATTTAATAATCACATCTTCTATTTTGAAGGATTCAGAGCTGTAACACAGATTGAATTCACTTATTATTGTTTGTTTAAATCGTCCCATCGATGCTAAGCAGTGCAACTGGTCAGTCTCTTATTGAATTATATGTGCATAATGTGCGTATTGCCTCGATATTACCTTAATAGTTATTAGTAGTAGTATGATAGTTTGTAGAATAGCTACAATTAGTGTTAGTTTTCTCTTATTTTAAATCACGAACTGATCTTAATTAGACCACGTTTGAAAGACTGGAAGCATTGGATAACTGTTTCTCATTAGAACTCTAAAAGTATATATCTTGAAGCTAGTCACTAGTGAGCACATAGTTATGATCATATCAGATGGATTTATGAAGATTATAGAGTTTACACAGTTCAAATTACAAACTGAAATTCTAGTGGGAAATTGTAACCAGTGAAGTTCAATCTCTGTCAGACGTGAGAAGGTCATCCAATAAATGGGAGGTGCACCGTTGATTGAAGTAAGGTATGTATACCATTAGATACCTGGCGTTCGGATGTGAGACCGAAGGTTCTGAGTTCGATCCCTGGTGGTGGGATCGTTGGAGGGCACAGTTGAATAGTCTTACTATGAAATCCAGCCATCTTAAGAGACTCCTTACGAAAGGTCTCTCTAAGATAACATGCATGTATCTTTAGGGGTCTTTTCATACATTGTCATTGCCATGTTTTACAGTTTACCTTAAAAGTGTTCCATCTTTCTTGTTGTTTTGTTTCTATCCTCCTTTGATTAGATGCTCCAATCCTTGAAATGGATGGTGATATGGTATATGTAATTGATTTTGAAGAACAAATCAATAAATTAATAACACATACAGATGATATTAGTTTACAATTTAAAACAGAAACTACACTCTATGGACAATCGGATCATTTACCATTATTCTATTCTGTTTCACGAGCTGATAAATCATATTTCCGTGTAGATTTAGTCAATGGACAAATACGTGTTCAAACAAATATTAATCATAAAGGAAAATCTAATGAATACGAAGTAGAGTTTTTTGATGTTTTATTCATTGAATGTACCTTCTTTTTTTTTAACGAAGATGGTTCGATTTTCATCGACTTAATCATAGACTGACATCTGCTGAAGGTGTCGAGTGAAAATCAGGAAGTACTGAACAATTATTTCATTCTAGTATAAGAATCTTTAGTAGTGTGTATCAATGGCCATACAAAGGAGAAGATCTAGGACCTTAAGGTTCTGAGTTTCATTGGTACAACTCGAGTTCCAATCAATTGATGATACTAACGGTCGAGGATTTTCCTCAAAAAACTAATTATCTGAAGCTTGATTCGTGGTGAGGTATTGGATGCAAATTACTGAAGAGTCCCATACTAGGACAAAATAGTTGTTCGGTAATTACTGGTTCTCAATAGTACCCTAAGTTAGATCAATGTTTTACAAGTGTTACCAAAAGTCGCCCAGTCTCCAAAATAAATAGTTTATCAGTTTTGTTCAATGTGGACTGTCAATATCAAATGAAGTTTTACTAAGAAAGTAAAGAGCACTAGAGAGTTGGTTTTTGTATTATTTCAAAACTGTTTAGTAATTTCTACTTGTAACCTGATCAATAGTTAAAATCACAGTATGATGTATGCTACTTATATCGACATAAGTAGTAGATAACGCCAGTCAGGAATAGAATGTCTGACAGCAGAAGGTTGAGAAGATCGAAGAGGAAAGAACGGGAATTGTGAAGGTAGTTGGTATGGAAACGTGAGAACAATGAAGTATGAGGCAATTAATGAACATTTTGCAAATGAAGTATTGGAGTATGATAATTTTGTGCTAAATGTAATCAGTTGTCCTCACCTGTGTTCTGATTTACTAGAACAGGACCTTTAATTTTACTATTTAGTTAAGAGTTTTGAATGGAAGTTAGATATTGGCTAGAAATGGGAGAATATCAGATAAATATTTTCTCTTATTTGAGACTAATTCGATAGATGTATAAGCTAGTGGCTTAATGGAATCAGAGTTCACTGGATAACACGGGCGTTTGAAGTAAATTGTACTAGGTTCCAGTCTCAATATTCACATGGCCATTGAGATGATACGGCCGAAGGTGTGGAGAGTCAGCTCTCCCTCTCCAAATGCTCTCATATAGCCACGCGTATATAGCCTCTACCAGGGAAGTCATACTCAATACCTTCTCGCACCACGGGTGTTTTTTACTAAATCGAGAGGACGAAAAGTGAATGTCCGGTGCTTTAACCGAATTCGTGGACATGGCAGGTCTACTTAAGGGAGATAGAAATCCATGATTTAAAACCAACAGTGAACGTGAGCTCCAGAATTCTAAGGAAATAAATGATATATGAACCTATTTTTGGTCACTGGTTACCATGAGACTGCATCTCCTGACGTTACTCCCCTGCCTTGTAGACTAAACTCATAGGTCGAAGGATTCGTGCGTGGCCCCCTAAGAAAACCACTTGCCTTAGTCTGGGCACCCGGGCAGTATCATAGTCTATGCACAAATCAGGTGACTTGTGTGCCGTATATGTATTTAGTGCCCCTTTGTATCAACATTTATGCGGCTCACAAGCCCCAAATAGAATGAAACGTCCATTTTGGATTTCATTGTTAACCATTGTCTTATTTTAATGAAAATTTTCAATGTTCTCCGTAGTTTTCTTTTCCTAATGGATTTTCTCTCTTCTCTATTCATTCCTCATAGGAATTCTTTCTTCCTAGTTCTACATTAAATGATAATCGTTGGCATACATTACATATTGCACGTCGTGCTGATTATATTGTCATCTCTGTTGATAGAGCTTCAATAACTGGTAAGTCAATTGAATGTATATAGTATATTATATATGAACAAAGTAACTATTATTAAGAGTAATCAATCTACAACGTTTTATAACTTATTGTCATACCCACATACAACTGATATACTATAGTGCCATATTCATCTTCTCGAACAGTGTTCCATCCTTCAGGTCAGAAATGATCATGAATAATGAAGTATATAAGGAATTGACTCAATGAAGTACTATCACACATTTGATTCAACACCATTCATAGTTCCTTGCAGTAACTCATTATCTGCATAAAATGGTAATACTTCCAAAAATATATCTAAACAGTGATTAACTGGTGAATCTTTACAGCCAGTTATTACCTACTTACTTACTTACTTACGCCTGTTACTCCTAATGGAGCATAGGCCGCCGACCAGCATTCTCTAACCCACTCTGTTCTGGGCCTTCCTTTCTAGTTCTATCCAACTCTTGTTCATTCTTCTCATGTCTGTCTCCATTTCTCTGAGTAATGTGTTCTTTGATCTTCCTCTTCTCCTTTTGCCTTCAAGATTCCATGTGAGGGCTTGTTTATCGCCAGTTATACTTCCACAAAATCTCCTTTCATTGCTAAATGAATTCTTTATCTGAATTCTGAAGTAATCAGTTGTATTTCATCCAGTGAAGCAAGAACTTCCACAAACTATTATAGTGTTTACTCGTTCAGTTTCTTAATAATTCAGTTCATAATAGGCTTTAGATATTCTCTGAAGGTACGTAAGTAAGTACACATATATACATACACACTTACACACACACTTATTTGGAAGAATAACAAGTTTATTGAGAGACAAATCTTTTCTTAACACTTGACAACATGATTGACAGTCACTTAAAACTATCTTAGTTCGTATTCGAAATGTGAATGATATAATTTTAATGGCTGAATTCATGAGTTAATCTAAGTTAGACCACTATTGGGACCGTTTCGTCCTAGTATGAGACTCTTCAGCAGCAGTGCACATCCACGATCTCACATGCAAGAATCAACCTCAAGACATTTGGTCTCTCGTGAGAATACTTAATCTTTAGACCACTGAGCCGAGATTCGACGGTATTATTGTCTAAATTCCATCAATCCATGATCTTGCACAGCTTTTTACGATCGTGGATGCACACTGACACTGAAGAGTCTCGAACTAGGACGAAACGGCCATCCAGTTCTTCAAGATTTTAAATGATGGTCTAGCTTAGATCGACCCATGAATTCACAAATCCCCATTTCAATAATGATATAATGGTCACCATTAATTTTTTTTTTTGATAAATCTACTTTTGACTATGCTGACAATCCATTTTCAGTCTGTTTTCAATTTATCTTCTCTTGAAAAAAACATTTTTGCAGGTATACTTTTAATTGATACACCTTTAAGAGGTATGCAATGGTGGATAGTTGATAAGATAAAAGAGGGTGTGAAAAAAAACATTTCTTAATTTACTATTCACTTGGTGGTTAGAACACCTACAAATATAAACTGTAGATAACTGTAATCATTTTTTTTCCTTTTTTTGTTTTGTTAACATGAGATCATGAACCGATTGATGTTAGACCGCTAATGAAAACTTGGAAGCACTGTATGGCCGTTTCATCCTATTATGGGTGAGCATCCACGATCTCGTACCAAAGGGACTCGAACTCAAGACCCTCGGTCTCGTGCACTAACGTTTAACACTGCTAGATGTCAACTCAGTGGTTTACAGGTTAATCGCTCGAGCGTGGGAGCAAAGGCTCTGATTTCGAAACCCGCGAGTGGGATCGTGGATGCACATCGCTGATGAGTTCCACAAAAGGACGAAACGGCCGTCCAGTGCTTTTAAGTTTTCAATGGTGGTCTAACATCAATCGGTTCATGATCTCAATCAGAAAATATATTGTAGAATGAGATATCTACTTAATCTTATCTTTGGTAACATTGAATGATGGAAGTTTAACTAGTGTACCAGTGTCCATCTCACTAGTAAATCATGTTTCTTAGATGAACTACACATCTTTTGTATACTTACAAGTGATTTTATGTGCATTCATAACAATTTAGTAAGTAAAATGATATAAACCATTTGATTGTGTTGTGTTAAGTGTTGATCTTTCACTTGAAATACTCCATTGTGTTATGACTCGTATAACAATCGTTATTGTATATGAAACGTGCAATGATACAGAAAATACGTACGAGCAGTCTTGGGTGCTATTCGGTCCTTCCTATCTGTCTAGCCCAGCCAGTTGAGTTCAGAACACAAATAACAGCCTCGGCAATATGAATCATTATTTACAAACACACTGGGTTTTTTATACAAACCAAAGTAATCAATAAACTGATTATAACTCAAGAATCGTATGATCATAAATCAAAGATCAAAATAAAGCTCATGATAAGAGAAAACGAATATGAATAATTTAGTTACGTAACAACTGTACAATAAGAAATAGGCATAATACATTGGTCGATAATAGACCTCAGATTTACGATTCATAATTCACCAGGGGATATAACACCTCCCCTTTTTGAGAAATCCGGAGTTGACATCCGGATTTTAAATTTCTCGAATTCACCCTCCCCCACGAAAGATTGTTGGATCCTCATGTACCCAAGTTACCGTTATTGTGACATTATTTAAAACACATTCGTCGTATTTAACAGAGAATCCACCAGAACTGATCAGATCGTGAGGATCGACGACATTCAATTTGAGGTCACCAGCTTTCGATTCTTGTGAAACAGTTTCCTTGAATTTACTCGGAACCTCATTAGTAGATAATGAATCATTAGGATAATCAGTATCTATGAAAGTTGTATTGGATTCTTGATTATCATTTAATGCATCCGATATTTTTCTCCCATTTTTATAAGAGATTTGAACTGGAACATATGAATCAGCAAAATAATCGGGATCTGGCAGAACAATTAGATAATCTTGATCATTAGATTCATAAAAAAACTTTTTTGCATCATGACTGGTTTGATTTGGCGCCACTGTATTCAATATACTGCCCGATTTGTTCCCCGTTTCTTCGTGGGCGGGTACTACAGTAATTCCATGAGCATTTAGCAAAACATTGTCTTTCTGTAAACAGGTTGATCCACTGTTTGCACGTCCGTTTTCGGGGTTAATAGGACTTGGACCGTGTATAGAGCATGTCTCTGAAACAGACAGTACCGGACTATTGGGCTGATCATGTAGGACTGCTACTGCTCCATTTAAATTACTGTTTTTCGCGGATTCATTGAGGCTTTCCTCTGCATATTCATTTGTTCTGTAATCGACTTCCAGTTCTGTACGCAATTTAGAAATCAATGCGTCAACTTCCGTTGCACCCCCAAAGCATGGGTGATTCAGCAGCGTCGCGTGTAACTTGTCAATGAAATCCAACTGACTCTTTTTAAAACGCTGCTCTTGTCTCTGAATTAGCAACTGAAATTGATCGGAAGTTAAAGCCATTTTTTTACCCTGTCGTCAGTTGTTATATCGTATGGGCCCGTAATATATATGAACGTGCAATTAGAGAGGAGTGGATTTTACTGATCGGATGCAAATGATACTTGAAATACGCACGAACAGTATTGGGTTGCTGTATTTTTTTCCAGAATCCCCGTCGCCACTGTTATGACTTGTGGTTTGAACGCTATATTCAGATCCTAAGCTATTCGGATAACCCCAGGCTAGCACTACTCAGCGACTTGAAAGACCAGTAAGAAGACACGAGTAACAGAGAAATCACTTTACTACAAGGTTCGATTATGTACAGAAAAAACAGGGGTTTTATAGTAATTAGAAAGACCTTGAGATTCCATAGTAGCAATATGTTAACAGCCAATCAGGACCTTGTTATTTTAGTAGCATAGCTTCTAACTGATCGCTGATTGGTTGGTCTCTTTATGAGCCTCTCTGGAGGCTCTGATAGAGTTTATTGTATGCCGATCTAACAATTGTCATCATCTAAATACAAGGTCTATTCATAAACGTCATTTTCATTGTGTTGTTTGATAAGTCAACCAGCTACAACGTAGGACCAGGTACGTATATGCATCGGTTCAAGTTGTTACATCTCATTAGCACAACAAGATGAACATCAATAGTAGTAGTAGTAGTAGTAGCTAACATGAAATACTATCTTATAAAAGGTGGTTTTCAATGGCTTGAATCGTCATATGTGACTAAATAACCTGTGTAATGCTAATGAATGCTACACATTACAGCGATGCCCATACAAATTCAGTAGTGATTATCTTTGAGTTATTGACACGTAAATCGATCACGCTAGATCATCTTGTCAACTCATAAAGACCTAGTACACCTTACCCAAAAAAAATTTTCTTGTTGCCGACATCTGAACTAAATATAAATCGAATGGAACTAGAACGATGCAAAGACAATAGAATCTAGGATGAAAAAGACCCAGTTAAACAATCTAACTTCCATGAATATTTTGACCAATGTAAAAAGGTGATTAACATGAGGATAATATACCTTACATTTTATAATCTTAAACAATTAACATCAGCTGTTTACAACTAACAAAGCAAAACCATATGTGTGGTTTCATTGTAACAAACAAACTTATATGCAGTTCATATTTTAAGTCATTCATAACATCAACTATTCACACATCTATCTGCCTTTATATGGTTGCTTACTCGTATCATCCCTCATGGTGGAGCATAGGCTACCCACCAGCATTCTCTATTCAATTCTGTACTGAACAATCCTTTCCAGTTCATTCCAGTTACTATTCATCCTGTTAATGTCTGCTTTCGATTTCCGTCGCTTACCTGGTGATGCAGTCTGATGATTTCTGCAATGTACATATATATATTCATATAACTAACATTTCATCATTGTGGGAAGTCGTGGAAACCGTAGTATTCTAACAGTTGTATTCACCAGTCAATCTAAGCTAAATTATCGATGAACACTTCTGAAGAGTCCCATACTAGGACGAAACAACCATCAAGTACTTCTAGGCTTTCAATACTGGTTCAACT